TTGTTAATATGTCTTTTGATTGAGTTAAGCCATTTCAATTGATATTTTATAGTGTGTCTTTCTATGTTGTGATGTTCACCATTGTTTCAGGTTAGGGCAAAGGTTGGCGCCTATTAAAACGTTTAAACCCGCTGCATTTGTTTGCACCTGTCCTAAGTCAGGAACCTGATGTTCAGTGGTTGTCATTTGTTGATGTGGTTCATAAGTGTTTCTCGTTTCTCGTTTTTAATATAGATAGACCATTGGTTTTCCTGTTTGAATGGTTTTACACTAGTCATTTTTGGGGCCCTTTATAGTTTGGTGTGAGCCAAGGCCCTGTGTTGAGGGGCATTATTAAAGGTAAACCCTAGTCTGTACATATGTACCTAAACTGGTTTCCACTCTAGATTTAGTTTATTTCAACCAAATATTATGTAACTTATATATACACTGCTTATTACCACCAAATACAGATCAAATTGTGTTGTTGTGGGTGGTGTCACTTTCACTGTTCTCAAGTTATGTCCCTTTATAAATGGAAATATTGCTGAATTTGCTATTTTTGCTCTCTTACTTTACTTCACCAAATGATATGAAACTTACACACAGTTCTTATTATCACCTAACAAAGATCAATATAAAAAAGAAGATTTGGTATGGTCGTCAATTAGACAACTCTCCACAAGAGACCACATGACACAGAAATTAATAGCTATAGGTCACAGTATGGCCTTCAACAATGAGCAAAGCCCATACCGCATAGTCAGCTATAATAGGCCCAGAAATCACAAATGTAAAACAATTCAATTGAGAAAACTAATGGCCTAATTAATGTACAAAAAAAGAACGAAAAACAAATATGTAACACAACAACAAACGACAACCAAGTTTGGATTTGGATGGTGTCACTTTCACCGTTCTCGAGTTATGTCCCTTTATGAATGGAAAAATTGCTGAATTTGCCATATATTTACAAACGGGAGCTGTGTCAAATGGTCACATTCTTCTTTTTTTTTTTTTTTGTATGAGATGAATAAATACAAAGTGTTTGAATGAGGTCTTCCAGGTAAGCTCTGCAAAGAAGGTCAAATATCTGGTAGACTATTATTTATTTAAAAGTCACATTTAAAAATGGTAGGTTACACATGATCTTGATTTCATATTCAAGGTTTGATGAATTTTTTTTTTTTAACCTTTTATAAAATATCTCATTGCATTTAAGATGAATATTAGGTTAGATATCATTTGCATTACTGTTGAAAAAAGATGATGTGGTATGATTACCAATGAGACAAATATCCACCAAAGAAAAAAAATGTAAACTACAGGTCACTATGCAGACTTCAACAATGAACAAAATCAATACCATAAGTAAGCTATAAAAGCAAACTGTTAAATTATTCTAAAGAGAAAACTAAGGCCGTAATGAACTTTATTTGTCATTTGGAATCTGGTGGTTAGTTGTAGATCGTTGTCTAATTGGCAATATACCACTTCTCCTTATTTTATAAGGGAATGATTAATTGTATGATTTTCAGTATCTTTGCATTATATTTTTTATATATTGTTTATTATATTTTGAATGTTGTAGGTAACTTTTACTCTACTAGTGTGTAGTGTTGATCATATGGTAGATATTTTGAATGAAAAAGATGTAAGAAGTAAGAGAAGTTGTATTTCATACTCAGAGCCAAAAGATTTACTGATCAAGAAGGACCGTGATGAGTTGCTGGAGGCATTTTGGAGATTGAATTATGCTACTGTCTGAGGTGTTAATTTCCACATTTTATGTCCATGTGAAGTTTTACCTTTACATGTTAGCTCTTACTGGTACCATCATTTAGCGACAATACTCACAATTAAAATTTGTGAAAATGTTCGCCTCTGAAACCATTCAGAATTAGATTAAACTTAATCTGAAATGACTCATAAGTATTCTGGTTAGAAATATGTCTGACAACTTCATTCATCTACCAGTATGGCAATATGGACACAAATATTCATGGTATACAAATATTGATGAGACAGCACACCAGCAACACAACAATAACAAGATAAGGGCTCTAGAACTACATGGGGTCTTGACAAATTAAAGTGCCATATGTCAAGCTCTAAATGGCCTGGATTCTAAGATAAATTATTATTAGAGACTTTCAAAATTCAAATGGTTACTCATACTTATTATAATTTTTTTTTTTCATTAAGATTATTTTGCCTCATCCCCTCAGCTGTCATGCTCCATTGACTTTGAAACTTTTCAATAGTTCACATGTTAAAGTGTTGAATTGCAACATTTGCATTATGAAATAAAAATTCAAATTACACGCAGGCAAGATACATCTCTGTGAAACAAAACCAAAATTATGCCAAAAGACCTCAATCATTTAATGATTATTGCTGAAATTGCTTTAAAAAGAAATAAATTGCTTTAGAAATTATTATTTGATAATTCTTATAAATAATTCATGTGAATAATTACTTACATAAAACTGCTCCATTTGTAAGTATCACATCCCAGATGGTTGTCATCATAGTACAAAGGAATCATAGGAGTTGTGTTGAAATATACTTATCTACTATATGAATAACCCATAGCTGAGAGGGTGGTAGAGCAAATTGTTACCCCAAGAAAACATTGTCAACCGAGGTAAAGCCAAGGTTGACAATGTTTATTTGAGGGGTAACAATCTGCTCTATCACCCACTCAGCTATGTGTTATTTGATATATTATACTGAATGCTCTGCCATTATTGTGTTTTAAATTTTAAATTAAAAGTCAGCTGTTTTCTCAATAGAAAGTCTCCTTTTATAGGTTAGACAAATGACCCTGCAGCTTGGTAATAAAAAAAATTGTATGTTTCAGTAGCATGATAAAATATAAATATAGTAATGACTTTGTCTTTCTGTCTGTGTGTCTGTAACAAATGGTTTCCGGATGGTAACAAAAATATCCCTTGCTTGATAGGAATGAAACTTATACAGATGGAAGAGGAGTAACCCTATTGATTTTGGGGGCAATAAGTCAAAGATCAAAGTCACTAAATAAAAATAGAAAATTTTAGAAAAATTGTTTCCATGGTAACTTGAGTTTCCCTTGCCTGATTGGAATGAGACTTGTACAGATAGAAGATATAGGGAAGGGTCAGCATGTCAAAGTTCAAGGTCACTGCTAATAAACATATTATTTTTTAAAGTTGGTTTCAGGATGGTATCCCACTCTTTTTAGGTACACATGTAAATAGGTGAAAATTTCACACTTTTATTTGTTCCTCCAAGCATAATAGTATTTTGATCCCATGGAATAAATGTTTTCTCTCATTGTAACTATGCAGATTGGGGAGCATTAGTTGGCAGTGCCAGCATTTTACTTATTTTTTTTCTGTCATGTCTGTATTGTGTAGAAGTGATTGTTATGATTGACACAATCTGAAAATTTTATGTACTTCAACAATATTTTCCTGTGTCTGAATAGGATAATTTACTGATGGTAAAGTGACACCTTTAATTTATATATTCATTAAGCTTGCAGATTATTCTTATTATTTCCATGTCGGATAAATGATAAATTAATATCTAGATATGTACATAGCCTATATGATTTGCTTGGCACCATGATATATAGATTGCAACAAATAAACCTATTTCAATTTATTTGTAGTGATTATTGGGTGTATCAGACCAAAAAATAGGAAATTGAAGTCATCAGCATTTATTTGCATGGATGTTGCAATCATTAAGAATTCAATGTATCCCATTAGCTAACCCATAATAATTTATCTGTATAATTGAAAGTATCTGACCAAATGATAGGTTGTTAATAAAGTGGAAGTGGATGTATGCACTATTTATTTGACACATACAATAATGAAATCAAAGTATGTTGTAAAGAGATAGCGGGGGGGGGGGGGGGGGGGGGGGGGGAATCGCACCATTCCTTATAACTTAATAACTATTGCACTTTTATATATCTTCATATAACCCATTTGTTTGCTGATGAAAGCCAGATGCCAAATCTTATACTATCACTACAAACCAGTAAAAGTCTGAAATGGCCTATATCTGTACTCGACTGTACTGATTTTTACTCGACCAGTCTGAATTGGTCTGAATTTTACTCGACATTACTTGACCCCAGTCTTAACCATACTCGACTGTACTGATTTGGACTTGACCCTTATCTTTGCCATTGAAAATAGTCTGAACTATTACTCGACCAGTCTGAAACAGTCTTAACCCATTCTTGACCTGTACTCGACCTATTTTTTCAGTCTAAACCATACTCGACCAAAGGTCTGATCAATACTCGACCAGTCTGAACCATACTTGACCAAATAACCTCTACTTTTTTAATTTTAACTGTTAAAATAAATTTCTTTTTAACTGACATGACAACAGCCACAATAAAATAAAGATATATATAAAAACAGATTTTTACATCCTTACATGATTCTCAGATTTATCAAAAAGAGATAGTTAAATCAATTATCTTATATAATAATTTAATTATATTAATTTTAAAGTTTTAGAGTTTTGTTAAAAAAAAGATTTTCTTTTACCAAAAAACCACACCTATACTGAGGTTAATAAAACCTTATTAAGGTGCTTCTTGTTTGGCATGTGTTTTTTTTTTTAAATTAATTTTCCTAAATTCCTAAATAAAAACTACATAGGTTTTATGGTTACATACAATAGTCATATAATTATCTTTTAAATGAGGTAACAACAGCCAACAAAATCACTGAAATAGTTTAACCTTATATTAGAAATATATCTATTCTTATTATAATTTGGGATATATTATATATAATATATATCAAATTGGGATGAAAAATTAAAGAAATGAATAAAATTGTTCTTTTGATTAGTGGTAAAGTATAAAGTAATACCTCCTGCTTGGGGCAAACTCATTAAAAAGATCACACCTGGTCAGAGAGTAATAAATTCTTAATAACATTCATTCAAAATTGCAACATCCTGTAAAACTTAAATTGCAAGGCCTTTTGAATTCACTAGATAAGTAATACACGAGTTTAAGAAAAATAGGGCTTTCTTTTTACCTGTAAAACACACATGTACTGAGGTAATTAAACCTTATTAAAGTGCTTCTTGTATGGCATGTCTTTAATTTTGACAAAAGTTATTTAAATTTAATTGAAATAAATTTTTACTGCAACTTTGGAACACATTTCTTTTTTTAAAAGGTTATCAAGGATTGCTATGGAAGTTCTATTATCATGATTATATTAAATTCTTGGTTTTACAAAACAAAGGTGTCATTTTTTAAATTTATTAAGTTGATTTATATACTATTTTATATATATTTTAATAAAAAAAAAAATGTTCACTGCATTATTAACTAAACTCAACTGACACCATAAATCTATACTAGACTTAAATTAATGGTGAAAATTGTCCAGTAACCATTAAATATATCTGAAACATTCAAAACAATTTGAATAACATTGAAAATATTAGTCACAATAAAGTTTTGAGATTATTTGATGAGCTTGTTTTTTTTTAATTTTAAAGGGGAAATATATATGTAAGTGTTGAAGTTATATTATGATTATTGTGAAATTTTGGTTTCAATGCCATATTATTTACACTTTTAATTTCAAATTGTTTAATTTCTATCCAGGGGATATAGCTGTTATTAAAAACAGTTCCTAAATTGATAAAATACAATAGATAGATACAAAAAATAGGTCTAGGTTGGTTAAGAATTGGTCGAGTATGGTTCAGACTAGGTCGAGTATGGTTCAGACTAGGTCGAGTATGGTTCAGACTAGGTCGAGCATGGTTCAGATGCGTATAAAATGGTTAAGTATAGTTCAGATTGCAGTCGAGTCTTATTAAGTAAATTTCAGACCAATTCAGACTGGTCGAGTAAAAATCAGTACAGTCGAGTACAGATATAGGCCATTTCAGACTTTTACTGGTTTGTAGTGTATGTGTAAAATAGAGGATGGAAACGATGAATGTGTTAAAGAGATAACAACCTGACCAAAGAGCAGAAAACAGCCTGAGGCCAACAATGGGTCTTCAACACAGCGAGAAAATCCTGCACCCGGAAGCGGGCTTCAGCTGGCCCTTAAACAATAATGTAGACTAGTTCACCGAAAATGGACATCACTCTAAACTCCCAAATATATAAATGAACTAAAATTAAAAAAAAAACATACAAGACAAACAAAGGCCAGAGGACTTGGGACAGGCGCAAAAAAGCGTCGGGGCTAACATGTTTTGTGAGATCTCAACCCTCCCCTATACCTCTTAGCCAATGTGGAATAAACAAACACACGGAAATACACACAGTAAAATTCAGTTTAAAAGAAGTTCGAGTCTGATGTTAGAAGAGGTAAAATAAGAAACTAAGCAAAATGACAATAATCCACATATATTAACAAAGGACTACTAGCATTTACTGACATCATCAGTGCCAGCTCCAGATTGAAAGATTATGTCTTCATCATATGAAAATCGAGCACAATTCCTCCCGTTAGTGGTTTAGTATCATACCATCATAAAATATACGATATAAGACCATAACCTGTATCATGCCAACGATGCAAAGGTCCTATGAGTGAATCGATATCAGTTCAAAAAGATGCCATCTTTAATGACCTGACAACATTCTCTTAACTATATCCCTTCTGGATAAGTCTGTTTAAAGGTTTGATTAGCTGTTGAGGTGAATGACGACATTTTTCTGCTTTGTATAGAATATTACCATAAAAGATGGGATATGAAATACCTGAACGAGCGAATCGAACAAGTTGAGATATATAAACACCCTAAGATGGTGCCAAGGGAACGTCACCATCTAAAAATGTATAATTAACAATAGGAAATGAAAGATCATCTCTTTTTCGTTAATTTTAGTATGAAGCTTTCCGTTAACGATATATATATCAAGATCCAGGAAAGGGCAATGTTCATTGTAAGTATTAGCTTTATTTAAAGTAGTTTGTTTCAATGAAAAAATATTTTTTTTCAATTCAAATTTTTTGGCTATAAGGTATGTTGAATATGTGTATAGTGTATCGATCATCACTGAAGGAGAAACATTTATTTGTTTAAATGCGCATTTGGTGCATTAAAATTGATACCTTTAATGTTTAAGTGTAGAATAGTCTCATGAATCCTCCAAATGTTATATTTTTTTCCTTCATTGTCCAGTTTGGTTGCTGTATCATTTATACTGAAGAGTTTTTTCATCAAGAAATGAACATTTACGGATACCAAATCAGTTGAAGTGGTTTATTGACCTTTCATTCATGTGTTAATGATTTGTCTAGATTTATCATACTTCTCTGCCCTTGGTTATCTGATGTATTTTGACAGAAATAAATGTGATATCCGAACAAGGCTATTATAAAACGTGGTTCTACGTCTAATTGATTCTCAGCCCATATCGTATTTCATTGTATGATACTTTGAATGTATTAATTGTTTTGGTTTAACCTTGTCTGACTGTCTACTCAGATTAGTTGTTTATTTTATATTCTGCTTATTGGCAGCTCGATATTATGGATTTCATTCAATTCTATTAATGTCAAAACATGTCTTTCTGACAAAACTGACATTTCTACAAGATGGATTATGTTTCATCAGCACTGGTATATTTAGCTGAATTGCGACCTTGTCCAACTCTGCTTTTGGACATCAACATTTCAGACTCTAGACAAATTTCTTAGGAGTCATAAATATATCTTTACCAAACTTAATTTTATTATGGCCCATTTAGTGAAACGGACCCCTGTTGATTTTGCAATCATTTAGTCCAAGGAAAAGGTCAAAACGTCTTTTGAATGAAATTTTGGCAACATTTTAGTTTCCAAATGATACCTTTTGAGCTAAATGTACAACTTGTATCAAACTTGGTTTGATAATGACTAAAAGGATGAAAAAGATGGAGGTCTTTAGGTCAAAGGTCAAGGTCATACATGAATCAGCAATTGTAAACTTAAATTTTGGTTTCTAGGTTACATCCCCCTTCTTTGTTTGTACTAGATGTGCCCAAATAGACTATATGTTTGCATTCCATCTATCTGTCTGAAAAGTTATCTGCACCTTTGTTCTGTTATGCTTCAATACTTCAAAATACTGTCTAGAGTGAAGAAATATCAATCACATTCGATGCAGTGGTAGAATCTATATTTATAAGATGTTACATATTGAATTGATATAAAACAAGGAGATGTGGTTCGAATGCCAATGAGACATCTATCCACCAGAGACCAATTGAGATAGAAGTTATAGCACCTATAGGTCGCAGCGTGGCTTTCAACAATGAGCAAAACCATACTCCCATTGAAACATTTTGGAGAAGTGTGTGAAGAATAGTTTGTTTCCTGTGACAAAAATCTACCTTAAACTGGCTAAACTTTTCGTATAAAGATGTAGATGCCTTATAATTAAGAACTATATGCAGATATTTAAGATACACAATGAAGTGTATGTGTTTAACTTTACTTGTTTAGAAAACTGTTATTTAAAATTACTTTCAAGTCATGAAATGGTGTATGAATCTTATATCGTATTTCATTCTGCCTTTTTAACTTTTTTGATTTGAGCGTCACTGATGCGTCTTTGTAAACGAAACGCGCCCTGGCGTGCACAACTTTTATCCTGGTATCTATGATGAGTTT